TTTTTTTTTTTAAGGAAATCCTTTCGCTCCAGTTGAGTCAAAACAATTTTAGTAGTCAATATACGATAAATTAAAATAAAAAACCCATAAAAATTCCTTAAATTAAATAATAAATAGTATATGAGGCATTAATTGTTGAAATTTTGAAAATAAAAAAAAAATTAGTTAAATACAAAAATTAATTTGATTCTTTCAAATCAGCTGCTAGTAACCTGTCCGTGATTTGTCAACGCTGTACTTCGGTTGTTTACATTATCATTTGCACAATATAACCTTAACTACGTTTAAGTTTTTGCAGTCAGTGTAAATAAATAAATGAATTAGTTTGAATTTATTGAATGGTCTGAAGTTCGCGCGCTACGCAACGTTGCCAAATTTTTTGACTCCATTTTAACGTAGGTTGCTTGAGAATTTTTTGTGATTTTTAAATATTAATTTCTCAATCAATATCTCGGTAACTGATATATTTTATTGTAAAAAAAGAAACCTGAATATTTCGAAAATCTAATTTTTAGTTTTTTTTTTTACTTCATCTAATCCATGGCTGATAGTATAATTCGAGAAATACTGCAAACGTCTGACTTTCTCGTAAGACTCTGAACAAATACTAACATTTAAAAATTTTATTTTTTCAAAAATTTGTCCGGTAAAGTATAATTTAAACCTCACTATTAGATAAATAAGGACCTTAACTATTAGAAAAAAAATTGAATTTACTCATAATCTAATATTTTTTATTTTACATTGGCGGCGAAAGGACCTCCTTAATAAAAGTATGTACATGTAATATATAATTTGACGTATTAATTTTCATTTGTTTTTATTATTACAACAAAAACAAAAAAAAAAACAATTTTCATCAATTTTATCTATAAAAAGTGATTCCTGATGCCTCATTAAATCCTAAATAAGTATAAGAATGATAAAAAAAAACCAAGTGAAGCTTTCAAAACAAAATAAATGGTTCCCTTACGTACTTAATACAAATACATGGGAAAAATACAATACAACAATAATTTCAGTGTCAAGCTTTTCATCAATAAACTTAAATAAAATAAAAACTAAAGAGACTTTGACTGATCGAGTAATCGAAATCTATTCAAGTATATTAATAGTACCGGAGGTTCACTTTTATGTTATAACTAAAAGTGATTTAATAAATTTGGTAAAATTAGATCAATTTTTTATTATGATTTTGTTTATCAACACCATTAACTTCATAATGCTTATATAAAACTTGAATAATTTTATAGAATTTGACAGATGTTCACCTTATTCAAAAGTATCATTATCTTCAATACATAGATTTATCTCACAATAATTTATCAGATTTATCGTCTTTAAGTAGACTTCCTTACCTCTTATACTTAAATGTATCACACAATAAGCTAAAAGATATTTCAAACTTTGCACCACCAAGGTATTTAACTTATTTAAATTTATCACATAACAGCATAACATCGATGAAAAGTTTAGAAAATTTTTGGAGTATCGTCAATTTAGATCTTTCTTATAATTTTATAAAGAAAATTCCCCGATTACATAATTTCAGGTACTTCTCTATTGTATTTTCGTTCATCATCTAAAAGAATGGTTTTTTCATTTCTAATTTTTTAGGTACTTGAAATATCTAAATCTTTCGCATAACTTTATCGAGTATGTACAACATTTGGAACATTTAAATATTCAAGAATTAAATTTAAACTTTAACTGTGTAAAAAAATTTATATTCATCGACTTAGATAAAAAAAATAGTGTGTTTGTTAATTTGAGAACTTTATTAATGTGTCACAATAAGATATCATCATTGAAATTTCTTCGGGATGTACACTGCCTACGTCTTATAGACTTAAAAGATAATGAAATTGAAGATTTAATGGAAGTATTTCATTTGGATAGTTTAATATATGAAATTGATTTAAGAAACAATCCTTGTACCAAATGGCCAAATTATAAAGAAATTGTTTTATTTTCAATTCCAAGTGCAGTTTTCGTTGATGGGAGTGAAGTTACAGAATCTGAAATGGTATGATAATAATTAACAATTTAACTATTATATTTTTTATTTTTTCATTAACGAATTTGAAAATTTATTGATATTGGGGTATGTGTAGCATTTAAAAAAGTTTTACTCATTTTAGATTTTTTGAAAATTTACATTGAATCGATCAATTAAGTTTTGAACAATCAAAGATAATATACTTAAAACAAAAATATACATTTATGTATATAACATTATCGTTAACATTATTTTAGCCCTGAACTTTAAAATTAGAATTTCTCTAACGATCAATTTTTTAATTTTAAATCACAAAACTTCGATGAATGCTACAAATCTCGCTTAAATCAATTAATTCGTCCACAAATATTGATATCGAAAATTAATGAGAAGTTTCTCAAAAACGTGCTGGGCTATCCGTCTTGAATTTTTTTTCTATGGATCATGTTAAATATAGGTTTCAGCGACTATTACATTCAATCCACCGATTAATTTATTAGCATCCCGTGGAGCTACTCAACTTACTTTACTAGAACAGTTGAATGTATCCAAAATTGATGATAGTATGGCGTCGTATGATGAAAATAGCCCACCTTTAATAATACTTAGTGGTCCATTGGCTGTAAAAAAATTAGCTTTAGGTCGACATTTATTTTTAAAAAACTCTGATAAAGTAAGATCATTTTTTTACTTCATAAATTAAATTTTATTTAACCTTAAGTTTCTTGATCATTTGTAATTATTTTTATTGAGGAACACAAATATTAAACTTATACTCAAAGTTATTAAATAAAAAGTTTATATTATATAACACCGATCAAAAAAAAAGTATTTTGTTTATATTTAATGCCTTTTACATTAGGTAAAATATTGTCGCAGCCATACAACAAGAAAAAATTTTACAAATGATATAGAGAATGGTGGTTTTTATTTTGTGAACCACGAAGAATTCCATGAAATGGCTCGAAATGGAGAATTTTTAACTATAGAAGAGATTTTAGGAGATAGCTATGGACTTCGTAAATAATAATTAATCATTTAAACGATTTTATATTTAAAAAAAAAAAAAAATAAATTTATATTTTTTTTTTCAGATGTTAGTGAACTAGTTAAACTAAAAAAAGAAAAAAAAATTGGTATAACACAACTGGATTTGTTAGCCACAATACAAATAAAAATAAGATATCCACCGGTAAAATTGATACTTGTTTTCACCGAAAACGAAGAAATGCATCGACAATGGATCGAAGATAAACTTCGAATTTTTAGATGGATTAAAAATAGCTCTAAAAATTTATGGGCGTTATCGATTCATAGAGAGTATAATATAAATAATGTAGATTCAATGGTTAATAAAATGAACATTGTATCTACTATTGTCAATAAACTCGACGTATCTTCTTCTTATTCTAATGAGATACAATATTTAAATTCGAAAAGTATGTCAAAAAAATTATTGAAAAATGAATCTATATTACCGAAAGTGACAATATTATATAAATTATCAAAAAATAAGAAACATGTTAAAATCATGAATTCAAAATCCTTCATAAAAAATTTATGTCAGGAGTCGTTCACAGATAGCGAAGATAATGAATCAAAATTAAATGTAATTTTTAAATATTAATATGCTTGAATTCTCGATGGTTTATTAAACGATTTATTAAATTAATAGATTGACTTAGAAGAAATGATAAATAATATGAATAGTAATGAAAATGCGCGAAAAAAAGTAAGTCAAGAGATAATTTCGGAAAAATTTGAAGCCGATGATATTTTGTTCGATACATCATTTCAGAAATATGAAAATATCAACAAACTTAAGAATGAATACATTGAAAGTATTTTAAAGTCACGACAAGTTTATCTTAATCAACATCTGAATAATCCTGGATTTTATTCTTTGGTGGTAGTATATCAAAATAAATTTGAAAACGATTAACCTTGTAAGGTTTCCCCTGGAACTTCCCGCTAATTTCAAGCTCAAAACGCTGAAAAAAATATTCCATAACAAACTTTTTAGCTTGTTGAGTTCACAAATACAAATTTTATATATTTCAAGCTCTTTGAGCTCGAAAGTCTAGAGAATGTATATTGATGAAGCCCTTTTTGATCGTCTTAAATTGCGACATTTCTTTAACAGATTGACCGATTACGATGCGGTTTGCGGCATTTAACGCAATTTTTTGAACACAAACAGATTTTCGAATTCTTTCGGCAATTGACGTTTTCTTTGAGATTAGTAGATTATTAGTATTAGATTCTGGAATTGATCGATACAGTAGTTTTTTAAAAAATAAAAAAAAACAATATTAGTATTAACAGGAAATTGGACTACAGATTGTAAAAACGCAGATTATTGATTCCGCGACGTTTCAGCCATTTTATTTGGCCTTCATCAGGCGTCTCAATTCATACGCGTAACAATATAAAACTTATTATATCCATCCCTTATCTCACTCAACATAATTAACAAAACTCCTTTATTTTATTAACTAAATGAATAAAAACAATTAGCAGACAACTTGTACATGTAAACAAACAGTAGACACCTACTCCAAACTACAGTGTAATAAAATGGCTGAAACGTCGCGGAATCAATAATCTGCGTTTTTACAATTTGTAGTCCAATTTCCTGTTAATACTAATATTATTCAAATTACTATGGATGTTAATTTTAATAATAAAAAAAACATTTTTATAAAAATTTCATTTTTGAGATTTCTCAAAATCTATTAAGCTGAATTGGTTCAAGTTCACATGAGATTTAAGGACAATAGAATTCTTTAGAATGCCGCAAATCGTGTTTAGATCGCTCAAGCCACACACACCTTTCTGAAACCTCAAATAATAAAGATCTGATACGAGCAGATAAAATCGATTTTCGAAAATTGGGGTGAAACCAATAACCTCCCAATTTTGGAAAATAATTGATTTTCTTAGCGGGAAGTTGACAATTTAGATTAGAAAACAATGCTATTAGAATGTAGAATAAATACTCTTATAATTTGTTTTTTCTTTTAAGGTATACTCTGATAATTTAAATGCGTTTCTTAAATCATCAAAACATTATATTAATCAGATTCATAACGATTTTTCATTGGAGAAATTACGAAAAGTACCAGAAATTGAATACCTCAAGCAATTTACTTTCCCTAATGCAATTGACAAGATAATTAACAAACTGAAAATAAAAAATAAATTTATAAATCATTAATATCTTAGATACGCCGAAATAGAAATTTTAAAAATCCAATTTACAAGTAGTTTAAAAATTTTATTTGTTTTAAAAGGAGGTCCTTTCGCCGCCAATGTAAAATAAAAAATATTAGATTATGAGTAAATTCAATTTTTTTCTAATAGTTAAGGTCCTTATTTATCTAATAGTGAGGTTTAAATTATACTTTACCGGACAAATTTTTGAAAAAATAAAATTTTTAAATGTTAGTATTTGTTCAAAGTCTTACGAGAAAGTCAGACGTTTGCAGTATTTCTCGAATTATACTATCAGTCATGGATTAGATGAAGTAAAAAAAAACTAAAAATTAGATTTTCGAAATATTCAGGTTTCTTTTTTTGCAATAAAATATATCAGTTACCGAGATATTTATTGAGAAATTAATTTTTAAAAATCACAAAAAATTCTCAAGCAACCTACGTTAAAATGGAGTCAAAACATTTGGCAATGTTGCGTAGCGCGCGAACTTCAGACCATTCAATAAATTCAAACTAATTCATTTATTTACTAGTAGTTGATTTGAAAGAGTCAAATTAATTTTTGTATTTAACTATTTTTTTTTTTATTTTCAAAATTTCAACGATTAATGCCTCATATACTATTTATTATTTAATTTTAGGAATTTTTATGGGCTTCTTTTTTTAATTTATCGTATATTGACTACTACAATTGTTTTGACTCAACTGGAGCGAAAGGATTTCCTTTTAAATAACAATAGTTTTCATTTGATTTCTTAAGCTATTTAAAAAAAATATACAACATTTTAAAATTCAGGGCCAGTTTTTCAATCCAGGATAAAATATATCTATATATTTCATATATATATATAAATATACTAGCAATAATAATAAAACTTTCATCCTGGATTGAAAAACTGGACCTCAGTTTTACTTGATAATGAAACTTTTAATAAATTGAAGTTTATGATTATTTTAATTTTAGTGATATAAATAAAGGTAGAAACCGATAATTAAATTTCTAATTATCGGATTTCTTTCAGCTTTAGAGACGTTTGAACAGATTGTAACTTGACACTTTTTAAAGAGCCAGTTTTTCAATTCGCGATAAATTTTATCCAAGATTGAAAAGCTGGTCTCAATAATTTTTTATGCCCGCGTACCAATTGACGTCAACTCTCGTTTATGCTAACATGGCAGTGGCACGCAACAGCTCATTGGGTGACATCGCGGATATCAAGATGCTACTAACGCGATCCTAGCGGTAAAAATGAGTATCAACAATTTAGTACTACCCTCAAACCTCTTAAAAGTTTCGTAGTTTATTATTTTTACTTTTTACTCTTGTTAATTAATTTTTCAACTAAAAACGTTTTGGCAACATTTACACTTAGTGCTGCTGCCTGTTGACAAAAAAGTCTGCTAACAAAAAAGGTAGTATTCATTAGTTTTTGTAAAATGGCGGGTGTTATTGTCCGCTGTACTCAGATTTCTAAAAGACAATTAAGTGAGTATACTGCGTGTTTTTTTATAATTTTTATAATTATCGTTAATTTTGATATTGCAAATACAATAATTTACTATTTGTGAGTCATTTAACTAATTTATATGTGTACATATATTTATATTGCATTTGTTTTTATATTCATATTGTTATTAATTTGACATAAGTAAGTTATATAATTTAATAAAAAATTTTTTTTAAAAGGTTTTCTTGGTGTTGTTTTGAATAATCAACAAGTAAAGACTTTCTCAGATGCTGCACCAGAAGGAAAGGTAATTTATTACAATTAAACTATTATTATGTATAAATTTTTCAAATTATTAGATGTTATAATACAAATAGTACGTACAATTCATAAGCGATATCGGTTTTGTAAATAATTAACTGTTTATTTATTTTGTCATAGAAATTTGGAAGCCCGTTAAATGATCAGGATAGGATATTTACTAATTTATATGGACGACATGACTGGAGGTTGAAGGGATCATTGAAAAGGGGTGATTGGTTCAAAACTAAAGAAATCCTTTCTAAGGGAGCTGATTGGATTATCAATGAAATTAAAGTATCAGGATTAAGAGGTCGTGGAGGTGCTGGTTTTCCATCAGGAATGAAATGGTCTTTTATGAACAAACCTTCAGATGGTAGACCTAAATATTTAGTAATCAACGGAGATGAAGGGGAACCAGGAACTTGTAAAGATCGTGAAATTTTGCGTCATGATCCTCATAAATTAGTAGAAGGCTGTTTGATTGCTGGTCGTGCAATGGGAGCTTGTGCGGCGTATATCTATATTCGAGGAGAGTTTTACAACGAAGCTTCAAATATGCAAGTAGCTATTGCTGAAGCCTATCAAGCTGGGTTGATAGGGAAAAATGCATGTGGTTCTGGTTATGATTTTGATATCTTTGTTCAACGAGGAGCTGGAGCCTATATATGTGGTGAAGAAACAGCTTTAATTGAATCAATTGAAGGAAAACAAGGTAAACCAAGATTGAAGCCACCATTTCCAGCGGATGTCGGACTTTTTGGGTGTCCTACTACTGTAACAAATGTAGAAACGGTTGCTGTTGCTCCAGTATGTATATTTGTAAAGAAAAAAAATTATTTTAATACTTACAAAAAGAGAAATTGATTAATTTACGATTTTATTATTAGACAATATGTCGTCGGGGAGGATCATGGTTTGCTTCGTTCGGTCGACCCAGAAATCATGGAACAAAATTATTTAACATTTCGGGGCACGTAAATAATCCTTGTACTGTTGAAGAAGAAATGTCAATACCCTTAAAGGAGTTGATAGAAAGACATGCGGGCGGTGTTATCGGTGGCTGGGATAATTTATTAGGCGTCATTCCCGGTGGATCGTCAACTCCTATTATTCCAAAAAGGTAACGTAAATATTTAACGCAGTTGATAACTTTATAAATGCAAATTAGATCATCTATAATCTATAACATCATTGATTTTTATAATAGTGTTTGTGACACTGTTCTCTTGGATTTCGACGATCTTGTGAGAGTGCAAAGTTCATTTGGTACTGCTGCTGTAATCGTGATGAATAAACAGACTGACGTAATCAAGGCGATTGCTCGACTAATAAGCTTTTATAAACATGAATCCTGTGGCCAATGTACCCCTTGCCGCGAGGGAATTGGTTGGATGTACAAAATAATGAATCGGTCAGTAACTCATATTTATTTATTCTTATTTATTTAAAGGATTTAAGTATTTTAGCAGTACACGGAGAGAATTATTTTATGCAAGTTTGGATAAACATCTTGATAAAGTTATAAAATCAGCATTATCAGCTTTAGCTTATCAGTTCAGAAATGTAGCTTTAGAAAATTTTTGTTTGAATTACCTCAAATCGAATTTTATAAAATTTTTTTAAAAATAATTTTCTGTTAAAAAGTCACAGTTTTATTTTCTCAATAATGTATTCGATATCTTCTGCGATCAGGGTCAAATTTATATTTTTCATTGTTGGTAAAAAAAATACCAGTATTTTTCATGGGTTACGTAACAATTGATCCGCGGACATTTCATCTGTGACATTTTATCCGCGGACGATTAATTCGCTCGATAATTCAACTGCACGACAAATGATCCATGATTAATTTTCGGATAATGCTACCGTGTTATGCCCTTTTATCATGGATTTTGTGTGTGTTTCATAAAATTGGTATTAGAAAAATTTGAAATTTTAATGAACACGAAGAAAAAAATTTTAAAACTTGAGTAGTCAGTTTTAAAATAAAATAATTAATAATATTAATTGACTAATAAAAAACTCAAAATATTTCTAATACTTTTTACCTAAGTTGAGTATATATTATGAAAGTCGTACGTGAAATTTATAAGACATGTTTTTGTTTTATACTAGGGATGAAATCCATAATTTTACTAAAATCTCGTGTTTCATTCAAATCAATTAAAATTTTCTGTCTTTACAAAAAAATTAAATTTTTTAATTTTTACTGTAAATTCAATAGTTTCGAAGTAATTGAAAGTTTATCAAGTTTCAATTCTTCTCTTTTTGATAAATACTGGCAATTATTTTTACCCGTTACTGTGATTAAAATTTCATTTAAGGAGAAGTAGAAGTTAATATATTCATTTAAGTTAAGAGTAATTATTAGTATAAATAATTATAAAATTGTAATTCTCTCTGTAAAAATAATCAATTCGCAATTAATTTTGATGTCAATTAAATTCTATTTTCATTGATAATTAACATACATTTTTTTTTTCATTAAAGATTTGTCCTTGGGAATGCAGAAAAACATGAAATTGATATGCTTTGGGAGCTCACAAAGCAAATTGAATTGCATACCATTTGTGCTCTAGCTGATGGTGCTGCTTGGCCAGTACAAGGTCTTATTCGACATTTTAGACCTGTGATTGAGGAAAGAATGCAAAACTTTAAACAATCAGTGGCTAATTAATGAATAGCAAATTCAAAAACGTAAAGTAATTTATTGCTGTTGTAATTATGTAGGTAATAAATATTATTAAAATAATTTGTTTTTATAAGTTTTGTTGCATTAATTTTTACATAGAATTTAGTGATAATGACTCGTAGGTATGTAATAAATAATTATAATAACGTACGTTTATCGAGAAAAAAAAACTGAAAGAACTAATGATCCAACGTAATAAAACTAATATTTTGCTTAATGCAAAACTTGAAAATTAATCGAAATTAGCGGACGTGTAATAAGACAGAGGTCATCTTCAAGCTATAAGAAAAAGATATTCGTTATAGTGAAAATAATGACTTCTCATTGTTAAGAGGGTCAATTTTTTCATAAATATTCAAATTGATATTAAAATATAATACTCACATCATAGTCACAATAAAAATTTGGAAAACGGTTGACCCTAAAGGCCATCCCTGCAACTTCCCGCTGATTCCATAAATAAGCTCTTAAAATTGCACTTGTGACGTTTTTGAGCTCTTCGAGCTCAAAAATATAATTTTTATGTTATTTCGAGCTCAAAAGTGATAGAAGTTTAATAAAACAGTATTTTTTGAATTTTCAAACTGCAATAATTTCTGAATGAATGAATCGATTTTCACGTGGTTGGCAGTAATCCACGCAGATTTTCAGAATCTACGATATAGTTCATTTAATTTATGTCTATAATTGCTCAAACTTTCTTCATACAATTTTGTTACTTTTTTCATTTGTTATTTTTATTTTTTATGTTTATCTACTCGAGTAGCTATGAAGTGATTGCTACAATCTGAATTTATTATTTAACTTTCTTGGTTATCTTGTCATTACTACTAAAATAATTTTAAAATCAATTACTTTGTAAAAATTATTAACCCTGTTAATGGCTACGGCTGTTGGGTTTGATTGTATTTGAATAAATAAATAAATAAATAAATAAATATACTTTTGAACAAAAACTGATCGAACCGAAAATCTTAGAGAAATTTGAAAAATTCACTTTTTACGAATTTTTTTAACAACGATAACTCACGAACCAATCAACCGATTTTCACGTTTTTGGTGGCGATCGACGTGATTTTTTGGACTCTAACAATTATTTTATTTCGTCAAAAACGATCCAAAAGGAAATTTCAAAGTTATGTGAAAAAAAACACTTTTTTCGAAATTTTTCGTTTTCGATAACTCTCGAACGAATCATCTGATTTTGACAAGACTGGTGGCAATCGACGTGGTTTTTTAAACTTAAGAGCTGATTAGTTTTTGGAATTGATCGGTAAGGCAACTAAGTTATTCCAAAAAAACGATTTTTTGAAAATTTTACTTTTAAGATTTCTCAAAATCTAGCGAATCGAATCGGTTCAAATTTTCATGAAATTTAATGGCAATGATACTCTTTGGATCACCACCTATTTCGATCCGATCGGCCGGGCCGTTCAAAAGTTATAAGAGGTTTACACACACTTACACACTTACACTTACACACACACACACACACACACACACACACACACACACACACACACACACACACACACACACACACACACACACACACACACACACACACACACACCTGCGGCAGAGGAGAAACTGCTACCAGGCGCGTCTCCCCGTAGCGGATGGGTTGACACTCGCTGTCCTTGGATGACACTAGGTCTCTTAGTTGATGAGGTACAGAGGGTAGGAGTTAAATAAAATACGCTCCCGTGGACAAAACTCCCCTTTAGTGGGTTGGTCACACTAACTGACCTAACAAGACGATCGGTCCCTGCTGTAACTCACTGGGAGTGTCCGGAACCTGTATCGTAGTTTCCGACGATGCAGGCCACGGCTGATGTGAGCTTGCTCTGCCGAGGTGTAAGTTGCAGCAGTGGATCAGGAGCCAGTCACTTCGGGCCTTGATCAGGAAGTACGCAGTGAGTGTTAGAGATCGGAATCTTCACCGCTCCGAGCGAGTCTAGTCCGTCCGTGTATTCCAGGACTGGCTAAGTGTCGGCTAGGCCTCAGGGAATTGGGGTAGGAGTACTATCTCCGAGGGTACACCCGTTCCTAGTTATGACAACCCGCTCCACTCCGTACGATGCGCTGGTAAATCAAAAAAGTATGAGTAAAAATATGGAAACAAACAAGAGTCAAAACGGGGCTCACGCCCAGCAAGCAGCTATCGTAGCAAGCGCTGAGATGAAGAGGGCACAAGCGCTGGAACGCCTTGATAAGCTTACTAGCGAGCTGCATGAGTTTGTTGAGTCTAAAGTCAACATCCACAAAGAGATTAAGACGAAGACAACCGGCGTAGTTAACGCCCTACAAAGGTTCAGAGCACTTGATGACGGATGGCAGGCACAACAACGGCAAACTCCCAATGTCACACCGAAGAAGAGCAGACAACCTGCCGTGTAGACACAGTCAAAGAGATGGACACCGGTGCCGAAGGCGATGGTGAATCTGTAACAGAAGACAGAAGCGACACTGGTGGCAGGTCTGGGAAGAGGAAATACCGTAACTCTCCCGACCCAACGGTCAACCAAGTAATGAAGAAAAAGGACACAAAACCAAGTCCTCCGAAAGAAGTGGCGGCACGGAGTGCCAAAAATAAGGAGGTCGATGCGTGGCAAAAAGTAGAATCGAAGAAGAGAAGGCAGGAGCAGGATCACCTCTCAAAGCAATTGCCGAAGGAGCCACGACCGGAACCTAAGCGGAAAAAATCGCGCAAATGGATCAGACCTGACGCGCTGATACTCCGCCCGGCCGAAAAAGAAAAGTATGCCGAGATATTGCGCCGCATAAAGCGTGATGTCCCAGCAGACCAGGTTCGCAATACCGTCGAGAAGATCCGCAGGACGATGACCGGAGATATGCTGATCACGTTGTCAAGGAAAAGTGCTGACAAAGGCCAAGCCTTGCAGAGGACCATCACAGGAATTCTCCAAGACGATGCTAAGGTAGTCTGTAAAGGTCCACAGGAGACCATTGAGATTCGAGACATCGACGAAGAAACGACGAAGGAAGAGATCCAGGCTGCCCTGAAAGAGGAAGTTGGAAAAGATCATGACATACCTCTAGAAGGAATAAAAATCCGTAAGGCTTTCAGAGGTACGCAGACGGCCGCAGTCACTTTACCTATGACCATCGCGCGAAAATTAGTGAAAGGAACCGGCAAGATTCATGTCGGGTGGGTTAACTGCCGAATCAAAGAGACGACGAGACCTATCCAATGCTTTAAATGCGGGCACTTTGGACATGTTGGGCCCTAATGTAAAAACCAAGTAGACCGATCTAAACTCTGCATCAGATGTGGACATCTGTAGGGCACGGAGAAGGGCACTGTATCGCGGACTGTAAAAATTCTGCCAAGTGTGCAATATGTGCTGACCAGCAAGGAGCAAAGGACGTGGCTCACCATGCCGGCACCCACAGATGCCCGGTATTTCAGGAGGCGCTCCAGAAGTTGACGAACAAACAAGCATGAGGATATTGCAGCTCAATCCCAATCATTGTGAGGCAGCGCATGACCTGCTCATGCAATCCGTGCGAGAATTAGAGCTGGACTTGGTACTGATAGCAGAGCCATATAAACACCTGAGTACCCAACCCTAGGAATCTGACAGAACATCCCGCAATGCCGGCTTTGTAGCAGTATCAGAAGAAGGCATCCGCTTCTATAGCTGCTACGCACCACCTACCCTCTCCATTGTTAACTTCACTGATTTCCTGGATCGACTAACCGAAGATGCGAAGCAACATCATCCAGTAGCGATAGCCGGAGACTTCAACTCATGGGCAGTTGACTGGGGCAGCAAACATACAAACGCAAGAGGGAAAGCACTACTGGAGGCATTTACTACACTAGATGTAGTTTTGCTCAACAGTGGTGATACGCCGACCTACACCAAAGGTGACGCAAGCCCCATTGTAGACCTCACTTTTGTCAGAAATAGCCTTGCTAGAGGCGACTGGAACTGGAAAGTGTTAGACATCTACACTGCCAGCGACCATCATGCGATATTCTGAGAAATATCAAGTGACCAGAACCCCAAGA